TTTTTTTTTTCATTCATTCATATGGAAAGGGGAGAGCAGGATGGAGTTTTTAAGAGCCCAGAGAGTTGTTACTTTGGGAATGAACCCATTGGCTTAGAAAGCATTTGGCGAAGAAATGTTGGATAGTGTAGTGATGACAACAGAGTGCAAAAGATTAAATTTGAGATGTTCCTTCAAGGCCAAATCCAAAACCCTTCAACACCCAGCAAAGAAATTCCTGTTTTTAACTCTTAACTGCCCCTGTGCTGCTGAGTCCTGTAGTCTTGCAGTTTCACAGCTCTGTTCTTTTATTTCTGATTTTTTTTTCCCTTTTCCCTCACCTTTATACTCCTTTCTAATCTTGTCCATTCCTGCTCGTGGCCTTTTAGGAAACTCCAGTAAGCTTTCAGTTTCTAGATTCAGCCAGATTCAGTTCAAGTTCTCTGAGATGGAGAACTTGCTTTGCAGTGAGCCAAAGTTTCAAATTCGGGGGCTCCTCCACAGAGCAGCAGGAATGACATCACATTAAAACTGAACATAAAAGGCCTGAAGGTACTTTGACATATGTTTCTCTCTGGGCTTTGTTACTTAAGAGATCCAGAAGCTGAAAAAACACCATTATCATATTTAGAAAACTGTTTAGAGAAATCCGTCTTGGAGACTGCTGCCTCCTCAGAGTGGTGAATATTGAAGGTCGGGGGCTACCCCTGAGTTTGCCCCCAAGAGCCTCCCTCTATGCCGAACAGCTGGCAGGGTTTCTTTTCCTTCTACAAGTGGCAACCCGAATTCTAAGTTGAAAGTGAATCTTTGCCCTTGGCTCCTCTCCAGCATTCCTCGCTGAGCGAATAGGGATTTGGAATGTCAGAAAATAGAAGAGGGGAGGGGAAAAGATGTGTGTATGACTGTGAGTGTTTATATGTAAAAGCAGCTTCGTCTGGGAGGACCTAGGAAAACTTGACTTCCTCAGACAGCTTCCTTCTTCTAAACTCTTGGTTCCTTTTATTTATTTTTAATTTTTTTATTTTTATTTTTTTGGTTTGTTTTGTTTTATTTTTCAAGTTGTTTGACCTGAATTTATCACAGCAGTTCTCAACTCTTGCCCTGGTGGAATCAAGCTAAGGGAAGACAGCATGATTTCCTGGGGGCTTGTATTTCTTCCCTCTGGATAAAGTGACCGTAGTCCTTCCTAGACTCATCTGCAGCAGGATCCAGAGTCATTTTTCCTCTGGGATTTAAGCTGATATCATCAGGAACCTAGACTTGGGTTTTATTGAAGAGCAAGCCTCATAAGAAGTGTTCTTCTGGGAGAATCAAGGACTCCATCTAGGTGTCAAGGTGTTGCTCAGCACAGTACCTTCTACCACAAGCCACCAGTGCTGAGCTCTTGTGGTTGGAGCTGAATTGAAAATATTGATGGAACACGCCTCTCAGACACTGTTTAACTGTGGACTGGTTCAGAGCTCAAGACTATAAATTACAGGGCAGCTTTTATCCTTTATTTAGTTCTTTCCAAAGTCATCTTGCATCAGTTCAAAAGGAGAAATTCTTTGAGGGTAACTTACAAGGCAGTTTCCCAGCTTTGTGTGAAGAATTCAGAGTTTGGGTGTCTGTCTACATCCTAAGGAACTATGTCCTCTTTATATACTCGAAGTAAAGAATTCACGCGGAATAGGAAATCTCAGTCTGATTCTCCCCCAGCATCTCCCTCCCCGACTGCCAAGACACTCCGAGTAAGCAGCCTTTTTTATTTACATATGTTCCTAGCTGTGACAAAGGTAGGAAATGTGTTTATATATAACTTAGGGGTTAGGTTGAGAGCAAAAGCATATGGAACTTACAGGAATCAGTAAAGGGGAAAAAATTGCAAGTAAAGACCCATTTAGCTTCTCTGAAAGAGGTTATGGTTCATAATACTTGATATAGTCTTAAGTAAAAGCAGACTTAAATATGCCAGCCTACAGTTTCTGTCTTTTAGCTTTTTAATAAGCTGTAAACTGCTTGACAGTAAGATTTTAGAGTTTTTATCATTATGTCTCATGGGGCTTTTCTTAGTTTCTGTGGCTATGTGTAGTTGCTGCTTTTCTTGTGGTTTATGGATCAATACTATCATTCAAAAGAAAAGCTCCCATATGGTTGTGAAACTATACACAAAAACTTCAGTTATGTGCAAGTTCTGCTCGTGTGCACACATGTATGTGAAATAGAGTATACCTTTGCCTGTTTTGCATGATAAGCAAAGTGATTTGAGTGAAAGAAAAACCAAACAAACAAGAACTTATGGGCAGTTGTAACCTTACTTCTCAGTCATTCAGGCACCATCAGGAAATTTTGTGATTAAAACCCAAAGAAATAACTCGTGGCTATTAGCTGTATGGAGGTGCTTGTGATGCTTGTGATAACAAAGCCATTTGAGGCTTTTCTCCGTTTACTCCAGTGAATGACTCTGCTGAAGTGATTAACATATGGATGTTTGCATCTAATTTAATGTCCTCCTCTGTAGGAAGCTAACTAAAGGAAAAAATGCTACCAACAGCAAATGATGAGGAATGCTGATGGGCATATTAGGTAGTAGGTAAGGTAGCAGTTCCTTCTTAGGGAACTAGACTGTGTTCTATCTTACATACAAGGTAAGAAGAGGGACAGTCATAGATTCCTTATTTGGGGAGCTGTAGGGAGAAAATCTAAAAGAAATCTGAACAGACTACTTGTTTATTTTGGGTTGCTTTACATTCATTGTCAACGTCTTTCTCATGGTGTAAATTATCATGTAGTGGAATTTGGCATATAGGTATTAGTCTTGGACTTCAGCCAGGGGTGTTTAGTTACCAGAATACCAAAAGAATGCTGTTAAGAAGCTGTTTCATTCATAGGTGCTCTTTGTGAGAGAACCAAGAGAGGCTCCGGTGTACATAGCACTGTTATTGAGTTCCAGGATGTTTCTTGAATACATGGGCTAGTACCTTCCTTTTCTACAGAACTGCAGAACGCTTTCCCCCCAGCAGCGTTGGGGTTTTCTGGTGACTGCTGATTGAGGTCACAGAGCTGAGCTCCATTACTTGAGTTGGTGTTCCCTTTGCTGCCTCCCTTTTATATTCCATCCATTACAGACTGTGGATGAAAAAAGCCTCTTGTTAATGTTTGTCCACTGTCGCCACCACTCCCAGAGCAATGATACCTGATGATCATTCAATTTATTGAGTGACCATCCTCCTCTTCTTCCTTTCTGTTTCCCCTTTCTTATTTAAAGTTAGTACTCCACTGAAGAAGTACTTTCTTCTGGTCTCACTCCTAACAGCTGCCGTCCAGCCTTCCCACCCTCATTCCACACACCCTCATCCCCGCCTTTTAGACAGAGGTTACAGTGAGAGAAAATTTGAAAATTGAGATTACAGGAAACCAAAACATGGACAGCTTTAATAAGAGACTGCTTCCCAGTTTTAGTGGTCTGTGGCTATGGATTCCCACAATAGCATCAGTTTATTGTAACCAACTTTAATGTCCATATGACTAGAGACTATATTGTAGAGAACATTGGTATTTATGTACCACTCATGTGCCCTTATCCTATTTTGTCTTTAATCTCTGAGCTAGTGGAAAAATATGCATAATTAATTTAGAGGTTGTTGACTCTCAGGACTGGTTCATCTCATAAGATTTCCCTAGCTCAGTTCCTTTCCTCACGACTGACTAATTAGGTGCTCTTTCACAACTAGTTTTGTGGTGGTCTTGGGCTCATGTGTCTTTGGATGCTTGGTTGTAACTGGCTGATCCTCCGCCTCCCTGAGGTGGTTCTCACTGTCTTCGCGTTACATGTGAGGAAATGGAAATGCACAGAAGTAGCTCGCCCAGCATCACTCAGCTAGAAGCGTCATCTTGATTTAAGCTAAGGTTTCTTGGCTCCAAAACCATATTATCGGCAACACTGGAGTACATATCAAATAGATTTGAAAGTCAAGGCTAAAGACATGCTAAGGAGTAAAGGGGACAGTCAGAAGCTTAAGTAGCTGTGGGAGTCCAAAATTTATCCATGGTAGGAACACAGGAAACTGAAATTGCAGGAGGAGGAACACCAGGTCTATAGAACAAGGGAGGCAATTGACGGGTCATAACTTAATCTCCGTGCCTGGCTCTCAAATTCCAGTCGTATTGTCTGGGATTATGAGCCCCACCAAGCCTGAGACTTATGGGCCATAGGGTCTTCAGATTTCTCTTAAAAAGGAAAATGCTCGGACCTTTCCAGTAAAGATATAGGACATTGCTGTGTGTGTTCTAAAGTGAAAGGCACACAGCTCTCGTCTCAATCTCTCTCTGTGTCTCTCTTTCTCTCTCTCTCTCTCTCTCTCTCTCTCTCTCTCACACACACACACACACACACACACACACACACACACACACACAGTTTTCTGATGGAGATCAGACAAAGTTAAAGATCCGTAACCCCTGGTCCAGCACTCTACAAAATAGGATTGGAATTTTGAATAAGCATTTAAAAGTTTGTGGGGGTTCTTTGTTGTTGTTTTTAATGCTGCTAAAGGGGCTGAATATAAAATGTTACCATATAAGGACAGTGTCCTCAGAGAATTTTTAAATAATAGCTATTCACAAGGAGAAAATACTTTGGACACTTTGCTCTTTGAGAAGCAGAACAAGCAAACTAAAACTGCAATTCAGTGGGAATTATTTTTAACTTGAGAAAACAAAAGGCAGAAAGACTTTTTAGTGACTTCAAAACAAACTACTTTATCATACACCTTAACTTTTAAACTTTTAGCAGCATCTGATATTTTTTCATATTATATAATGCAGTGTTTCAGTAAGCCTCTGACCCGTTTTAATCATAAGAAAATCTAATGCCTGCCCAGAAATTGAACAATTAATATACTCCCTAATGAGAAATCACTCATGAAAAGATAGTGTGGGTCCTCCCCAGCCAAGATTTGTGTTTACTTCCTCTATTGATATTTCAAAAATAATATACTTAATTTTCTGAATACAAATTGTACCATGAAACATGGTTTTTAAAAATACCCCTTTTATTACAGTGCTTTATTTTATGAACATACCACCATTATCCTGCTGAAAGAAAAGCTATATTCATCATTTTATTTTGCCTTTCCTGAGGGTAAACTCATGATAGGTTGACATGGACAATTCAGGGAAAAAAATGAAATACCCTTTTTCCTCATAGGCAAAAATGTCCATCCATCCTTTTTGTATCCCAGGCACCCCTTCCCACCCTCACTAAGAACAGCTATTATAAGTGGTTATGTTCCTGATACCACTGTTTGGGGCTCCTGGGGAATAATGACATAACAGATTCAACAGCTTCTTGGGGCATTCATACTAGTTTCACATTAGTTCAACATCTCTTTTATCTCTAAAGGCTGGGAGTTCCCTGAGCAACAGATCTGTTCATCTCTGGTTTGTTACTCAGGAAAAACAGAACAACTTCCAGATTCACTCTCAATTCTAATGGGAACCACACCAGTACTTCTTCATGACACTCCGAAGGGTCAGCCTTCAGCTACCATGAAACAACTGCAACATAAAATTCTTGGTTCACACATTCAGTAGAAAAGTTTTCTTCAGAAAGTACTTTTCCAACATTAGGGAAAAAGTGAACTACAAATACTTTAGACACCTCAGTTCTTGTTTTTAATCACTGGGTATAATATAAAATTCTATAGCTTAGGAACTAGTCCATTTAGAATGGGTTGACATTTTAAATCATCCTAAGGTATGAACCAAGTAATCCTTAGTCCATAATCTCAAATTATTTTTTGCTAATTGAAAAAAATTGCAAGACAGATTATTTACAAAGAAAACATAGTAGCAGATGTCCAAACTGTGGTGTATTTGATATTTATAATGTTGACTACATCTTGAAGTAAGTGGGTTATCAGCTAAGTCCTGGGAATCTTTAATTAGGCAGATTTTCATTGAATTGGTATTTGTGATAATAGGATTTGACCTGCATTTATAAACCAGGATCAGTAGCGTTTTCTCATTTAGATGGGATTGCTTCCAGTCTAACATCTCAATAGAAAAGATTTTACATAATAATAATAATTTTCATCCCAGCCATTTTCACATATAAAGGGAGAAATTAATCAATTTACTTTGTTTTATAATCAGCCATACAAACTAATCACAGTACTATTGATAGATAATTGGATAATAAAAGATTGCAACTGTCACAAGAGCTCGTTCTGTGAGGCACCTAGTAGGCAGGGCAAAGGCATCCTGCCTTTTCACCTCCCAGACCAGGTTGATAATCATTCTTTCCATGTGCTGTGTTTATCTCTGGCAAACACCAAGCAGTTCTGTAGCATATTACCTTATCCTCTATACCTACAATTCTTTAATTGGGAGACTACCAATATGGAATCCACTTTATCATCATTATTATTACTGTTGTTGTTGTTTTTAATTTTTAATTTTGAGACAGTGTCTCACTAAGTGGCCCAGGCTGGCCTCAAACTTGCTGTCCTCTTGCCTTAGCCTCCCCAGTCTCTAGAATTACAGGCATTTATTAATTCAACTTTATAATTTGTTGTCCTGGAATGAGAAACATTTGAGTGAACATGATAATTAGGATGCAATCTATTTATCATTTTTTTTCTACCTAATTAAAACCACCAGTATATTTTTTTGTTTGTTTATTCCACTCAAGAAAAGTCAATAAGCAGTAATTCTTCAGTCCAAGCAGTCTTTTTAGGCAAGAGAAGTAGGACCTGTAGGAATAAAAGTGGTTTCCCTATTAGGAGCCATTACATGAATTCTGGATAGATACTGGCCTAATTAATTCCTGTCTTGCATGGAACCAGGTGAAGTGGCATCTGAAACATTGGTTTGTTGACTAAAGAGACTGGGAGTTTTAAAGACATCAGCTCCTTTACTGCAAGCTGTGTCCTGCACTTGCCACCCTAATTTTCTAATCCCATGATTAATGAGTATTAAAGCTGCCTACCCTATTTGTTTTGGTTTTTCAAGACAGGGTCTTGCTATGTTGCCCAGTTTGGTTGATGGGTTCAAGTTATCTTCCTACCTCACCCTGCTGGGTAACTGGTATTTTAGGAGCTCACCAATATACCCAGCCAATCTTGCCCTACCTTGAATCTTCCCATAATTAGCATTCTATGAGCATCTGCTATGTGTAGTAGGCCCCATATCGGGCACTGGAATTCCTAATAAATGAAAGACACAATTTCTACCCTCAAGGACTTTTAAATCTAATTGTAGAGATAGAAGCCAAGAATTATGACACAGGGAGGTGAATTTTCTAATAAAGCTACCTATATTTTCTAATATAGGTACAGAGTGTTTTAGATCATCAATCAGGCCAGGTGTGGTGATGCACACCTGTAATCCTAACTACTCAGGAAGCTTAGGCCGGAGACTCACCAATACAAGGCAAGATTCAGAATTTTTTTTTTTTTTGGGGGTGGGGAGGAGGTGGGTACAAGTTGCTTAGGACCTCACTAAATTGCTGAGGCTGGCCTCAAATTTGTGATCCTCCTGCCTCAGCCTCCCTAGTCACTGGATTACAGAGGGCACCACCACGCCTGGCCAGCTTTAGAAGTTTAATAAGACCCTCAGCAACTTAGACTCTGTCTCAAAACAAAAAGGGCTGAGAATATAGCTCAGTGATAAAGTGCTCCTGAGTTCAATCCCCAGCACCCCCCCACACACATAAAAAAAAAAGATCAGTCAGGTGATAAATGCAGTAGCCTGATGTTTGCAGGACAATAGAAGCTCTTTGGGCAAAGAAGAAGGAAGTAGCATATTACAAAGGTAGAAAAATATGAGAAAGTGTAGCATTATTTTGAAAGCTGCATATCAGTGTAGCTAGAACAAAGGATATATTTAAGAAGTATAATAGGAATTAAGACTAGAGTCTTAGCAGAGGCCATACTATGTAGGGTTTAAGTATGGCATTCTTAGATTTGGAAAGTTTTCCTGTGGGTAAAGGACTGAAGATTTGGAGTAAAGTTGCTGTGATCAGAATTGCATGTCAGAGGAATAACTCTGGCAGCTGTAGACACTGGATGGTGGAAGGGACATCAGGAGGTGATCTGATCTCGGTATTCCAGGTGAGACATGATAAAGGCCTGTGGCAAGGTATTCTTCAGGTAGAATTGAGAAGCATTCAATTGTTCGGAAGCTAGAACTGACAAGACTTGGGGATCCATACAGTGGGGGCAGGGTTGAACTTGGGAGAAGGCAGAGTTAAGAATAATGTCCAGGTCTTTGGTTTAGGTGACTTGGCCAAAAATGGTCAAATATGACAAATGGCCAAAAATGACTTGGTCAGAAATGACAAATTGCATTGCCAAACAGGAAGTGAAAGTGTATTGAATGGGAACGACATTTCACTTTTGGATATATTAAATTAGAGGAACTTTAGGACTTTCAGTTAATGATATCCAAAAAGTATAGGTTGTTAACATTCCTTATTCAAAATCCAAAATGCTCCAAAATTCAAAACCTTACAGCACAAACATGATGCCACAAGTGGAAATTCCAAACCTGACCTCATGTGACAGGTTACAGTGAAAATAGACATGCTTTAAAAATACTGTGCAAAATTACCTTTAGGCTACAGATGGATTTTCTGTTTCGACTTGGGGCATGTCTCCAAGAGATCTCATTATTACGTATATGCAAATATTCCAAAATCTGAACGCCTTCGAGCCCCAAGCATTTCAGATAAGGAATATTCAACCTGTGGTTGGTCTGAAGATGGGGAGAAAATTATGGGCTAAAAATATTGAAGTTTAGGATTGGAGTTATAGGAGTATTGAGCTCGCCTAAGGACTGGATGCAGTGTCAGGAAAGGGCTGAGAATAAGCTGAGAGTGCCAACCAGCAGTGCAGCTGCCTCTGACTCTTTCCTATCCAGCTACCACCGGAATCTCAAGGAGGACAGAAGGTTCTGTATCTTGTTTCTTTGTTAAGGGCCATCGTAGTCAACTTCTTGTTAAGGGTAATAAGCTTCAGTTCTCAAAGGATCCAAAAATTTAGGAAGTCAGGGGTCAATTGGTTATGAGTTTTGGATTGAGTTCTAGTTTTGTTTTCAGTACATAACCAGCTGTGTGATCAGGGATTGCTTTTTTTCAAATTTTGAAAAGTTCCCAGATTATTCAGCATTAGTTTGGTCTTCCCCAGCCCAACTAACCCTTATAATGTTTGGGTGAACTAACAATTAATTATAATCAAAGTGGGCCAAAGGGAAACAGTGAGAGTTGGCTCTCATCAGCCTTTTGTTCTTTTCCAGCTCCTTTTTGGTTCTTTTCTTGACCTTCTTATTATAAAGGGTGGTGGTTATCCATAATTGGGGTGTTAGTTGTCACCACAGCCCCAAAACCCAGCAGCCTTCTTTGGTTATGTGAGGCAGGGAAGTTCTACTAGTGAGTTAATTAAAGATACTAAAAGTGTGCCTCGACTTTAATTTCTTCATGTTTCATTGCAAAAGTAACATTTTTTTATACATAGATTACATGTAAAATAGCAAGTAGCTATTTTTTAAGTTGTTTGTTTGAAAATTTACGTATTCAGAATTAAATTGAATTATAAAATAAATGAAAGTATATCAAATCATTAAAAACATGAAAAATCTTGGTATTGCTTTCCAAAATCAACTTCACATAGTTGGTTATTTTAAAAGGGTGTACAACCATCCAGACAGTAAAGTAATGACCTTAAATGTCTGTAGGTTGGAAAGGGTAAGTAGGAATTAGCCTGGATAATCAAAATCTACAATTAAAACCCTTTACTTGAGTGCTAAGGAATTTACTTGAGCTTAATTCCTCTTTCAGTGAACAAGTATTGGGAGAGCCAGAACCAAAGAGGCATGAGAGAGATTGGAAAAGCAGGAAAACTGTAGAAATGGTATCAGTAGCCAACAATTTATAAAACATTTACTATGTCATGCTCTACCAGACACACTTATTATCTTTTTTAATACTTTTGGTAACCTTATATATCAAGTACCATTACCCCCCGTTTTACTTCTGAGAACACTGAGACAGAAAGAAGTCAGGAAATTATCTAAGATCACGTAACTAGTGATGCTGCAGCCAGCAGCTTGGCTCTGGAGCCTGTGTTAACCAGTGAGATGGGTAACAACTGCTCCAGTGAAACTGCTGTCTCTC